ATATTATTATATATATATATATATATATATATATATATATATATTTTAATCTAATCGTAAATTGCGTCTCTATTTAAACCGAATGCTTTTGTGTTTCAGAGCCACCAGTCGGCCGGTTCGCTTCCAGGAGGAAGAGCGTTTTCGCGGAGACTTATAATCCCGAGGAAGATGAGGAGGATGACGGCTTCAAGGTATATTCTACGTGCGGTGTTACCGTTTCACGAATTATCGCGCACGTTTCCGATAATAAGGCCGGACGAGTGAGGCATCGTTTGTGGAGATACAAGGTCTCGCGGTTTCATATCTGTCTGGAAAAGAGAAAAGAAAAACTACATAGATGAACAGAACTGAAGAAGCGTTGATCGAGCAAATCACGTGTTGATGCTACGATAAATCCTATCTGTGCAAACGCATCAGCGATCGGTCTGCACAATGATGCTCTATTGACTCGATGATTGCCCAAACAACTGCGTTTTGTTCATCCCAAAAGCTGTTTTAAATGTGCATTATTTCGATACGTCGCACATCACCGCTTCTAGATATATTTCATTGGCAGACATCGCAACATCGGCTAATATTCCTTCCAAGCAATACGGAGCCTTCGTTTAGCAGAGGCATGCATTTTTTATGCTTGTCACGTCGAATTGGCGAAAACCGATACGATTGTGGCTGCATAGATAATCGGCAAGACCGCGAAAATGCGTGTTCCCGTCGCGTCGCGTCGCCGTAAGAAATTCCGAACGTGCGAGGATTAAAGTAATGAAAATTCGATACGAGAATAGCTGAACGAATAAGCGTTCAAAGTCAAAATTTTCTCGAAGATTAAAATATCGGAATTGATCGACCTCGCGCCGCCGGCGCGACGCTAATTAAAAACGCTTCCCTCACGCGTTCTGTTAATTATTTTCGTGGAGTAGCTACGATTGCTAAAATCGGTCAGTCTGACGTAGTGCAAAGTAGTCACGTAAGTGGAGGTTTATGTAATGCATTCGCACGTATGTTTCGTTTTTCGTTGATATTTCGCTTTGACGAGAAACTGCAATGACGAACGCTCCGTCTTCGACACGGAGGCAGTTTAGATTTTTTTTCGGTGGTAGCAGAAAATAGAAAATATCTCTCTTTTCTTTCTCTCTTTCTCTCTTTCTCTCTCTCTCTCGTTACAAATGTTATATGCCAGCATGTGTATGTACTACACACACACACACACACACACACACACACACAACACATATATATATATAATATATATAGGTAACGGTAATAATATAGTACTTAACTACGAACTGTACTAAGTAATACATCGCCGACGCACTTCTCGTCTTCTACGTCTCCCTCTCCCTCTTCCTCTCTCTCTCTCTCTCTCTCTCTCTCTCTCTCTCTCTCTTTCTCTCTCGCGCGCGCGCGCTCGGTCGCTCGCTCGCTCAGTCGCGCCAACACGGTCCAGTCCGGTCTGATCAGGCGCTGTCGCGAGGTGTGATTCTCTCGGATGCGCGGCGACAGTTCCTCGTTCAGCTTTAGCCGGCACGACATCGTGATTTCTTCTTCAGCCACCACTTCGTCCACAGAAGGAAGAACGCGAAGGAAGAACGAGGGTGTATCAACGTGGATGCGATATCTCGTAGGTGTAAATCCGCGAAACGGCGTTTCTTTTCTAGCCGAAAGTGTCTTAAATTCCGCTAACTCGTGATTATTTGAATAAAATACTTGTAAAAAAATTAACACGTAGAAGAGAAAGGAATTGTTTCCGGTCTTGTCTGTTTAAATCGCGGTACCCCACGCGGATCGTATTCCACGCGTTTTCGCAATTGTTCACCTCATCCTGTACGTTCATTTCATCCCCTCGCCGATATTCCGTTTTCCCTCGCGCGGTAATTGTCGCGGTAAATCCGCGCTCATGAGTCATTTGTAAGCGGATACAACGCGAGATATCGCATCTACGTCGATATACATACCTGTTCAGGAGCAAGAAGGTGCGCGTGAACGTGCTGTCGAGGAGAACGGACGTGTCTCTCGTGCGCGTTTCACCCGCGTGTTCCTTCCTTCCCGCGAGAAATGTCACTCATCTCCGTCATCGAGCCGCTGGATGACAAAGGTGCGCTAGAATAAAATCAAAATCCGCGCGTTGTTTCGTACCGGTGGCGAATTTCTGAGTAAAATCGCCTACATTCGAAGAAGTAGAAATAGAAATACAAACTTTTCTCGTATCCACTCGAGAAGAATCGCAAACTTTTAACCGTGTAAAGTCCTTTCCTCGAACCGCCCACGCCTAACGTCGTGAAAAAAAGTCACCGAGAAAAAACACAGTTGATCCTCGGAGTATTTCTAAGAAAAGCATCATTAATAATTTTTCAAGGTTGCCTTTTTTTTTTTTGTTTCTTGAAAACAAAATTATTTATTCCGTACGACTTCGTTTTCGTCTTATCTCCTTTACGTGGAATCGTTATCCTGTTACGGAGAACTTGGTGTTGCGCATCCGGCAGCAGGAAACTACATCTGTAATCGAGATGTGGGTGAAATTTCGAGGAGGGAAAATTTATATCTCGCGGAATTTCATTTGAAGAGAGAGATGACTCGGTATCGCGTTCGATACATTCGATTGGACGTGAGATATTTCAAGATGAAGGATCGACATTTGAGAGAAAGACGTCGTTATTGCGGGAGAGAAGAAAAAGAGTTTCACCAGCGCGAATTGCGAAAATATCAAAGCAGCGATTTCTTCGTCTTCTGCATAAATTCCAAACGATGCGGGTTATTCCGGAGTCATCAAAAGATGCTAATGTCGTAATTCCGAATGGTCGAATTGCTGTCTGTTTCTCCTTCCTTTATTATCAACGATCGTGATTTCGTCGCGAATAATAACTAAACGAGCTGACGCAGCTTTCCGCATTTGCATAATGGAACAACAGACCATTTTTCACACGGCGGATTCTCGAAGATTCCTCTCGAGAGCGCAATCGTCCAATTACGTAAATGTCAAACTTGACGTGGATAAACACGCATCCGATTGCCATCTCCAGTGAAACGCGATCCTCGTCTTATTATCGTTCACATCGAGCATTTCTATAAGATTTCAAACCGTCGCAGTCGATCAAACTAAGAACCATTCGCAGTGAATAACTACTGTCAAATGTTCTCGTTAATTTCCTTAATAAGGATCAGAGTAAGCTGCGCCGTTAGATGGTCTTCGCCATCCAATAAAATTCAATTACATCTTGTTTCAGTTTTAATCGATGTTTAATCAATTTAATTGAAATTTCTATATTTTATATATATATATATATATATATATATATATATATATT